GGGTGGGGGTGTGGGGGGGTGGGAAGCCTCGCCTGGACGCTGTGGTTTCTGTTAGTTCTACTTTTTTGGTTCTGATGCAAATTTGAACCTGTTACAATTTCCAAATCCAGCACAGTTTGTTTTTCAGTGCAGTTTACGGATTCACTTCTCTAAAAGCCTCTGAGCTTTCTGAATAAACCAAACCCTGCACTTATGAATAGGGGAAAGTTGGCAGCAGGAAGTGAGCAGCCTGGGAAAACAGAGGTTCGCTGTGTTGCTCCGATGCCCTTTGGCATTCTGATGGCTGTGAGCTCAGAGAGTGAATATTATTAAGTCGGACTGAGCCAAGTCTATTCTTGTGACACTGTGGAAGTTTGCACTGGTAGAAGTGGGCAGATTCAAAAAGCCCCTAGTAAATCTACGAAAACACTTCAAAACCACATTAATGACCGCTTCTTCTTCTTCTTCTGCTGTGAAAAATGACACTGAAAAGCCAAAATAAATGTCCCAAAAGTGTGGATCAGTGTTTCTGGCTATTAATAAATATTTTTTAACCCAAAGGAATTTCTTATAAGTGCAAAGCTGTTTTTGTAGTTTTCTTCTGCCCACTTTAACTGGTCCGGTGACACAAGAACTTGAGCCAAACTCACCGAGCCTCATAAGAACCAGCCCTATGCCCAGAGAGAGGCCAGGCAGTCCTCCACCACGAAACCCTTGAGTTACATTGTGTTACTAAACTGCTTTTCTGATTTGAATAAGAACAAATGTAGCTGCCACCAACCTGTCGGGAAAGTGAAGAAGAATCAACCAGTTACAAGCCACACGTCCCTGGGAAGATTTCATCAGGCCAGTGAAAACACCTGTGCACGTCCTGCATGGAGCGTCACAGTAGGTGGTCTTCTCTCAGGTAAAAACCGGGAGAGAAGCAAGAATTTCATTCTAAACAAAGCTGTAACTTGTGTTTGGAGTTGGGAAACAAAATTGCCCAGCGGTGACTGGAATGTACAAACAGAACCTCAGGTGCACCCACTGAGTTAAAGTGGGACTTCCTGGGACCAGATCATCATCAGTGGCTGATTCATTTACTTTTGTTCTGCAGCTTTAACGCCCTTCACACATGATCAAAGGCGTGAACCACTGTTTTCCAATGGAAAGAGAGGAATGTTGAACCTGTGGCTGTGCCACACTGGGTGTTGTGAGCTGTCCAGATTTTATACCTTATCACTGCTCTGAAAGCTTCAGGTTCAACCTTTTCATTTTGTTCTTCAGTATAAAAACCAGTTAGTGACAGCAGTCTGGTCCCAGGAGGTGTGTCTGTGTGGCCACCATCAGTACGAGTGCTCGTCTCCAGACATAAGA